TCCTTCTCTAAAACATCATATATAATATATAATGAAACGGAAAGAGTATTTGATATGGTTTGTGTAGTATTGTCCGATCAAGAAGAAGAGTGTGTGCTTATCCTTAGTCAAAAAAGTGGAAGGTGGTCTCACATTGTAATGCCCACTTACATGCAATTCCCAATGATGTTCCATATGCACCATTAATTTAATATCAATTCCTAAACAAATCATTTGTAAAGATTATAGTGTGTAGGTAGAGTATGGTAAAGCTTCATGCGACATAAATTTGGCTACTAGTTCTTGGCAATGGGTGTTTTAGCTCTAACTCCTAGGTCAATGTCGTTTATCTAACTTTCCTTTGATCATCAAAAGTTTCAAAATACCAAATTATCTTCTTCTTTTTTTTTTTGATAAAGTATACCAAATTATCTTATAACAAAATAAATACTGAATCGCAATTAAGGAAGTGCACTACGTTATTTTGATTTCTTTTTTTTTTTGTTGGTCGATTTTTTTCTTGTTTTTGCGGATCGAAATGTAATTTGATTTCTTATTACTAAAGTAATATGTAAGTCACTATCCTCAGTCTGTGTATAATAAAATATGTGAAATCAAATTTTCATAAACTGTAAGTACTTTGTGGTTGGATTGCGGTTAAAGGAATTACCACACAAATTGTATATTTTACATTGTGGTTTTACGTTATAGCTATGGGCAAAGATCAATTTATCATTGAATTATTCTGATGATCCGGAGTGAACCGGTTCAGATTGGATATGTTCGTTTTATGATTCCAACCTAAAAAAATCTAAATATATAACAAAAACTTGAATTACTCATCTCTACATGCATACAAAATAAAACGATGCAAAATTGAATTAATATATTTATAAAGTAATTAAATCATTGAATAAACACATACATATCAACATTTGCACTAAGTAATATATTAATTTAAAATAAATGAAAAATGAAAACTCAGGAAACAAGGACATGAAATTGTGGCACGCTTGAAATTCTAGGGCATAGATTGAGAAACCCTACGCCTTACGAAGCTTCTTCCACGTTTGTCGCCGATCCATCCAGCATAACCCCAAAACTTTAATCCCATTTTACATCTTTCTAATAATCTCGTACCTTATTTTTATTTGTTTGTCATAAATAATCTCATAGTTTTTTTTTTCTTTTTTCTTTCCATTTTACCAAACATGCTTTTTTAATATCCGAATTTCGAGTAGTTTTGATACTTACAATTGCTATACGAATTCCACATTAGCCAAGTGGATACTATCCACGTTAACTTAATTTATCAGAATTTGAACCATTTTAAATTCTTCTATCCATTTATTTATTATATTCATTAACACCTAAATTATCAGCATCAACCACTTACTAACCATCTAGTTTAATTAACGATCAACTTTATAGCAACGAAGAAAACTCAGCTTTTAGCAACAAACAAAAAACGAAGAAAATTCAGATGTCATAATATTGGGGCTATATGCCCAAGTTAAAAACAACACGCCTTTCGATTGCCAACTATTAAAACGGGACACGGTTCAATGAAACGAAAACAACAAGATTTTCCATGTCAAAACATGATAGCGACACGCAGTTTTGCTTCAATTTCCTTTTCTTAGCTCTGTTTCTCTGTCTCTTTCTCCAGTTTGATGAATCTCTCTCATTACTCTGGAAATGAAGCTTAACTTCTGAGGAAACTTTGATCGTTTTTTTCCGGTGGTCTTGATTCGATTCTGACCGTTCGATGGGCTCGACGTTCAGAGATCGTACGTCGGAGTTTTATTCTCTATCTCAAACGTTGAAGAAGATCGGAGCGATCCCGTCCGTTAATCAAAACGAAGATGATCCGGCAACTTCCAAACGGTCGCCGCCGGTAACTTCAAGATCCGAATTCAACACGAAAGCTTCCTGGATCGGGTTACGTATCCACGAGACGTCTCAGAAGATCGCGAGACTCGCTAAATTAACGTTTCTGAATCAGATCTTCGTATCTAATTTTTAGCTGGAATCGTGAATTTCGTTCTGAATTTGGTTAAAAATGTTAAGAGTATTTGATCCGATTAGTGGAATTAGGCTTTGTGATTTTTGGGATTCTAACGAGATTAAGACATAAATTTCGATAGCTGTCTTAACGTGTGACTTTCTGCTTTTAGGCATTTAGCTTGAAGCAAGAAATGATGCTCAGAAAATGGAATATGTTACTTGCTGGGGAAGTCATTTGTGTTTGAATCTTGAAATGATTCTAGTTTTTGTTAACCTGAATCTTGATTATGAATTTGCAGTGGCAAAACAATCGTCGATATTCAATGACCGGACTGTGGAAATACAGGAGTTAACCGTGTTGATCAGGAACGATATCACGGGGCTGAATATGGCTCTCTCGGATCTGCAAACCCTTCAGAACATGGAGATGGCTGATGGGAACTATTCACAGGACAAAGTTGGTCACTACACTGCTGTTTGTGATGACTTGAAAACCAGACTTATGGGAGCTACAAAGCAACTTCAAGATGTTCTAACTACGAGATCAGAGGTCTGATCTGTAGTAGTAGTTTTGTCAACTTCTCATTGATCAAACTCGACATAAGAGAATATTTATTGAGAAATATCTTGTCTTCCTGCAGAACATGAAGGCTCATGAAAACCGGAAACAACTCTTTTCCACGAAAAACGCAGCAGTAGATAGTCCGCCTCAGAATAGTGCGAAATCCTTACCCGAGCCTCCTCCTTGGTCAAGTACATCAAATCCTACCGGGAATTTACAACAACCACTGTGAGTTTTGGACAAACCATTTCCCACCTAATAGTTACTGTCATCTAATTAGGTTGTCTTCTGTAACCAATCAGATTGCCGCCAATTAATAGTGGAGCTCCTTCAGGCAACCAACTTAGGTATGTCATAATGTTCCTGGCTGACAACTCTTGATGTTCATTTTCCGTGATGCTACATGTTCTAAGGTCAAATCATGTATAACATGATGTTTTGTCTCGTGCCATGCCAAAACAGACGAAGATCCGCAATTGAGAATGCTCCTTCGCAGCAAATGGAGATGTCTATGTTACAGCAGACGGTACCAAGGCAGGAGAATTATAGTCAAAACCGAGCTGTTGCGCTTCACAGTGTTGAATCAACAATAACAGAGCTCAGTGGAATATTCACGCATCTAGCTACAATGGTCACACAACAGGGAGAGCTAGCTATCAGGTTCTTACCCAAAACCCAACATATTCCGAGTTTGAGGGGACACTTTTTTTTAACACCGGTTAGTTTCATGGAACAGAATCGATGACAATATGGATGAATCGTTAGTTAATGTAGAGGGAGCACGCAGCGCTCTTCTCCGACATCTCACACGAATTTCTTCAAATAGATGGCTCATGATCAAGATCTTCGGGATTATCATCTTGTTCCTGATTGTTTTCCTCTTCTTTGTGGCTTGAAACGAAACCATTTTTTTCTCTTGATCCTATTGTAATCAAATCCAGTGCTAAAACTACGATTATATACATGCTAAGCTCGCAAGCCTCGAGGGCTACCATTTTTTTGGGTGGATAATGAATTGTCAAAAAGTTACAGTTTCTCTGCAAGATTCAATTGTGTTTTTTACCAGGAAACTTTTATTGTAATATCGAAAATGCAAAGGAAAACCAAGTATTATTCCGAATAGAGATAATCACACATAATATGTTTTATACTAAACAGCATACAGAGAAACCGTAATCAAAGTATACGAGGTTTGGGACTTAGGAATCAAACTCTCTGAGGACATCAACAAAAATGCTCAGAGAAGTTAGCAAGTACCATCTATAATCTCAGAACAATCCAAACCAAGTTTCTTGGAGTTGAGAGTATACTAACTTGGTGTTTAGGTCTCTCTCACTTAGATGGTTTATGCAGCAGCTTTATCGAACCTCCGCATCATATCGCAATGTGGCGTTTCTCGGATATACCCCCATTGTTGTCTCTGAAGCTCATACCTACAATTCTGACCCAATACAGACAAGTAATCTCTGTCAACTTGCTCTTCGACCCTCTGTCTCTCAGGACTATTGATTGGATATTCCTGCTCGAACTTGGCTGATCTCACAAAGTAATTGACCCCTCTATGCGTGGTGAATTTGTGGTCGTACTGGTACGATGCCGAAAGGGAGTAAATCGGTTGAGGAGAAGGCATGAAATTGAGTAGTAGTATGAACAGAACAGGAAGCAATTGGAATAGCACACGAGGATTGAATCCTGTATCAGAAGCTTGATTAGCAGCTGTTCGATTTCCAGCTCCGAAATTGAATGATCGGAATTGTGTAGTAGCAGGAGACATTCCTCCACCGAAGAAGGCTCTGAAAATCTCATCAGCATCAAATTCATCGTCGTAGAAACCGTTGAATCCGTTGTTTCTTCTCGCGGATCGTCTAGGTTGATAAACAGGCTCATCGGAACCACTAACGTCGTACTTCCTCCTACTTTCTTCGTTGCTTAAGCATTGAAATGCTTTAGAGACTGATTTGAAAGCTTCTTCTGAACCAGGAGCTTTGTTCTTATCGGGATGTACTTTCAACGAGAGTTTTCGATATGCTTTCCTCAAATCTTCAACTGAACATGTATTCCCCAATCCAAGAATCTCATAGTAATCCTTCTTCGCTTTTATCTCCTTCACGATCGCTCGTTGTTCTTCCGTGAAAGACGAAGACGATGATGATGAAGACGACCCCGCGGCGGTTGAAGAAGATCCACGTTGACGAAGAGACGGCTTAGGCGACTCCTTAGCGGCAGATCCAGACGAATCCTCCTCCGCCGCTGGTTCATCGGACTGTTTCTTCAGATCCGAAACGAGATCATCGATCGGTAAACTCGGATCGAGACGACGAGCTTTCTCCAGAAACTTCAAAGCGCGAGATCTATCTCCTGCTTCCATCGCATCTTTGCCGATTTTCAAGCATTTCAACGCGTCATCTTTGTTACCATCCATCTTCAAAAAGTTTCTCCCGATGAGGCTAAAATCGGGAGACGAAAACTCCTCAAGGAATTAGGGTTTCTCGTCACCGATCGGAGCTCATCTGAGAGATGTGAGGATTTTCCCCAATCGAACGACGATTGAAAAATATCGCTGCTGGTTCCTCTCTCTTCCACAAAGAGCTTTCAAGCCTTCTAGAGAACAAAAGAAGAAGTTTACAGAACCATTGCAAAAAGAAAATGCGTGCCGTTTTGCTATATTCACAAGAGAACATCAGGCCGTTCAAAGTGATAAAACCAGAAGACAAACGAATGCAAAAAGAGCATGCGTGCATTTTTCTATATTAACAATAGAACAACGTGTCGTCAAACTTATAAAACCACACAACGTTTTTGAACTGTTTTTCATTAGACAAGAACACGCGTGACGTTTTCGATATNGAGAAGGGGAAGTCGTGTCGGGGCAAAACCTGTGGAAGAAGCGCGGGTGTCGTTTGAGATATTTAAAAGGGGACTTCGTGTCGGTTAAGTTGGTGGAAAACTACAAAGCGTTTACTCTTGGGAAGAGCTCCTCCAACGGATAAATGAAAGATGCTCTGACTAGCAGCGATAAGAACCACGAGAGAGAGAGGACACACATCTGAAGTGTCGGAATTGTAAAAGTTCTTTAATGGGAACAGGGTTTTGATCGGAGAACGTAAAAGTCTCAACTTTTTCGAAAGGACATGAATCTCGCGGCTAGTTTTCGCGGCAATTTAGGCGTATTGTCGCAATGCAGCTCATGTTGCAGTCTTCAGTTTCAGCCCTTTGTAGCTACTTCAAGTCTCGATTTTGGGCAATCAGGAACATTTCTAAGGAAGAAGAGTCTGAAGCTTGAAAGGTTTCATCTTTTCTTGTCATTTGTTTGTTTAGTGATGGCTACTTGAGTACTTGTTGTCTAACTTTCTGGTGGCTTTTAAAACTTGAAGAGTTTTCAGAAAGAGAGAGACTTTTGTTAGAGTAACGGAGTCGCAAACGGAACCAGAAGGCAATAACGATGAGGTATTTGCTTTTGTATCAATGCGGCTTCTTATTGGTTTCTCCACTACTTCTTTGTGTCTCTTTCTGTCTAAATCCACTACTTCTTCTTTGCAGGAGAATGGTGGAGATGACAAAGAGACTTCAGCAGATGATCCTCCTTCACAAATTCCTACGGAGCTGAATTCACAGTCTACGGTTGTGAATGAAACGTCGGGAAATGAAGAGGAAAACAAAGCTCAATTCAGTTCTCAGGTATTGTCTTCTTACTTGGAAACCAATTCTTCAGTTTTATATTTGAAGCTCAATTTTTAAGTTTTGTTAGTGAAACTTCAAAGTAATTGAATCTAAATTGGTTAGTGTTGCTTAACTTCAGATTACTCGAGATGGCTTATTACTGGAACCGCTGTATTCGACTTATAACATCTGACGCTGAATCTTATGTGTCTAATTTCCTTAGTTCCTATAATATTCTATTTAACTAGCTGCCATCGTCATTCGTCCGTATAGTTTCTTGGTTTTGTTTCTGAATGTGTTGTACTCTTGTGCATTTTGGAATAGGACGGTGATAAAGTAGAAGTTAGCACTGGTTCTCCTCTACCTGGTGTGAATGTAAGTATTATCGACAATGTTATTTACAACAATGGCAGCTTGATGCTTTCTCTTTCTTATCTTTCATAAAAAGTTTTTGTCAACAGCCGTTACAATTGGATGATTCCATGAGGCTCCCCAAAGAAACCATTGATATTCTCATGGGCCAAGTATTCGGGTTCGACACCTTCTTCGTTACAAGCCAAGAACCGTATGAGGTGAGTCAGGGAGAAACTCATCAGTTTTGTTTCTAAGGTTATTGTCAACATTACTTTCAAACATAAAGAGAAAGTTATGAAAATTCTCTGATTCTGGATCTCTTGACGTTTTTGGTACAATGTTGGTAGGGTGGGGTGTTGTTCAAAGGAAATCTAAGAGGTCAGCCTGCTAAAAGTTACGAGAAGATAAAGACAAGATTGGAGGTAGCAATTCTGCTTTACGGGTTTTCCTTCTTAACTAAGATCCTTGTTGGCATGCACATTTTGTGTCAAAGATTAATAGTATATTGCTCATCAATCTGCAGAATAAATTTGGTGACCAGTACAAGTTTTTCCTCCTTTCAAATCCAGAGGATGATAAACCTGTGGCAGTTGTTGTTCCGAGAAGGTCTTTGGAACCCGAGACAACAGGTAATCTTACTATATGCTTCCGTTTTATAAGGATCTCTCTAAGATTATTAAAGCTTTAGCTGGATACTACATATAATTGCAGCTGTTCCTGAATGGTTTGCTGCTGGTTCTTTTGGATTGGTGGCATTGTTTACATTGTTTCTCCGTAATGTGCCCGCCTTGCAATCCAACTTACTGTAAGAACATCTTAAAACCATGTTTTCTCCGGAACATATTATGCTTCCATATCATTAAATTGAATGTATGTTTTCCCCCCATCTATGAATTTGATTGCAGATCGGCATTTGACAACCTTGAGCTGTTGAAAGAGGGCTTACCGGGAGCTGTAGTCACCGCTCTTGTCCTTGGAGTACATGAATTGGGACACATCTTAGTTGCAAATAACTTAGGGATAAAGCTTGGTGTTCCATTCTTTGTTCCAAGTTGGCAGGTGAAGATGCAATGTTCTCTTTAAAAGAAAAGGAACCTCCTTTCAGTTGGAATTCGGTTTTTAAGACATTTGATGAACATTTTTTAGATGGCAGATAGGCTCTTTCGGTGCTATAACGAGAATAAAAAATATCGTACCCAAGCGAGAAGATCTTCTGAAGGTTGCAGCTGCAGGACCTTTGGCTGGTTTTTCTCTGGGCTTGGTTCTGTTTCTTGTAGGATTAATCTCGCCTCCTAGTGATGGCATTGGCGTTATAGTCGATGCATCAGTGTTTCATGAATCGTTCCTCGCTGGTGGTATTGGTAAGTCCCTAGCTTTAGTCTAAAGTGATGTTGTAGCCATCTTTCTTTTAAAGGCATTTTCCATTTTTGCTTGTATAGCCAAGCTCCTACTTGGTGATGTACTTAAGGAAGGAACTTCGATATCCGTTAACCCACTAGTGATCTGGGCATGGGCTGGACTTCTCATCAATGGCATTAACAGCATCCCTGCGGGAGAGCTCGATGGTGGCAAAATCGCTTTCGCCATTTGGGGTAGAAAGGTATAACTGCAAACCCAAACTGGAACATTCCCATTTTAAAATAAATGCTTGATCAATGGTTTCTTTGTGTTTCACTGCATAGATAACCATCTAATACACACTAGTTCAAGATTGACATTTTGTTTGGTTATTTCGGTTTTTCAGTATTGAGTAGTCATATAGCCAAATTGAAACCAATTATTTTCAGTTTAGTTTGATATGTTTACACTAAGTACGGCTTTGGATCGACTTTTATACAAAATAACGAAGCCGATCAAGGTTATAAACAAATTTCAGTTCGATTTCATTACAAAAATGTTCTGCTTTTGGTTCTGTTTAATGGTTTAGTAATACGATTTTAAATGGTGTCAGGCATCGACACGGCTCACAGGTCTCTCCATAGCACTTCTTGGGTTATCTGCGTTGTTCAGCGATGTAGCATTCTACTGGGTGGTTCTGATATTCTTCCTGCAGCGTGGACCGATCGCGCCGCTGGCTGAAGAAATCACTGAGCCTGATGATAAGTATGTGTTTCTAGGAATCCTGGTTCTGTTCCTCTCCTTGCTTGTGTGTTTGCCTTACCCATTTGCATTCACCGGTGAAGAAGCCATGATGATTGGCTTGTGAACAGACTCATCATTATTACGCAGCTCAACAAGAATTAAAAGAGAGAGAGCTATAGCTTTTTAATTTTGGTCTTATAATTTTGTTGTTCATTTTCTTACTCTCGTGGAGGATTTTTGTGTTTCAGAACACAATAGATAATTGTTACCAATATAATAATGAAACCACTTGTTGATATATTAGAAAATTGAATCATTTTTTTCTTAATTATTTCTTACTGAAGACTAAAAGTAGACAAAACAAAGAAAACGAATCATGTTTGGTCTTTTGTGAACAAAACATTAAAATTTGATGATCTAATATATTGTGAACTGAATTTTGAACGAAAGCAACAATATCCAATCCATGAGTTGATGTTATGAGTTGGTAATCTTCTGATTATAACTATAAAAGAAGTCTTCGGATTACAACTCATTGACTTGATGTCTTAATGACATTGACCTTGTACTTGTATGTTTACCAATACCCATCCGAGGATTAAGGCAAATTACAAGCATAAAAACTAAAAAGAGATGAATTGTTGGCTCGTTTTCCTTGGCTCCTCTTGCTGCATCAAAAGATTCCTCTCACATTCTGCAATATCATTTCAGACAATAAGCAAAGAAGAAGTTAGTATTATTAAACCAA